GAATGTAGCCAGCTACATTTCCTAATGTTTTTCTTAAAGTGAATCTTGCATTTTACCGGAGACAAGTAGACTGGATACTCTGAGAGAAGTAGTTACACATCAGATCGCTGTGTGCTGATAGATTGCCCATTCCTAATTTCTCATCCGAGTGGAGAAGTGCAACTGAAGCACAGAATCAGTCTGATGCCAAACATAAATTACAATAAGGAGAATTTTATTTATAATGCCTTTGATATTTTTTTCCTGTGTAAAAAAATTTGGCTTCTGTGTTAACATGGCAATGTAACTTGCTAGTTATCTAAGTAAGTGGCTGAATTGATAAGGCATCATATTGTGTTAGCTACTACTCTGTTCTTTATTTAACTCTTATTATTATCTATCCTGATGCCTAGTCACTTTACCCTGCCTTCATGTACATATCTACCTCAAATACCTTATTATTATCTATCCTGATGCCTAGTCACTTTACCCTGCCTTCATGTACATATCTACCTCAAATACCTTATTATTATCTATCCTGATGCCTAGTCACTTTACCCTGCCTTCATGTACATATCTACCTCAAATACCTTATTATTATCTATCCTGATGCCTAGTCACTTTACCCTGCCTTCATGTACATATCTACCTCAAATACCTTATTATTATATATCCTGATGCCTAGTCACTTTACCCTGCCTTCATGTACATATCTACCTCAAATACCTTATTATTATCTATCCTGATGCCTAGTCACTTTACCCTGCCTTCATGTACATATCTACCTCAAATACCTTATTATTATCTATCCTGATGCCTAGTCACTTTACCCTGCCTTCATGTACATATCTACCTCAAATACCTTATTATTATCTATCCTGATGCCTAGTCACTTTACCCTGCCTTCATGTACATATCTACCTCAAATACCTTATTATTATCTATCCTGATGCCTAGTCACTTTACCCTGCCTTCATGTACAGTGGGGAAAAAAAGTATTTAGTCAGCCACCAATTGTGCAAGTTCTCCCACTTAAAAAGATGAGAGAGGCCTGTAATTTTCATCATAGGTACACGTCAACTATGACAGACAAAATGAGGAAAAAAAATCCAGAAAATCACATTGTAGGATTTTTAATGAATGTATTGGCATATGATGGTGGAAAATAAGTATTTGGCCAATAACAAAAGTTTCTCAATACTTTGTTATATACCCTTTGTTGGCAATGACACAGGTCAAACGTTTTCTGTAAGTCTTCACAAGGTTTTCACACACTGTTGCTGGTATTTTGGCCCATTCCTCCATGCAGATCTCCTCTAGAGCAGTGATGTTTTGGGGCTGTCGCTGGGCAACACAGACTTTCAACTCCCTCCAAAGATTTTCTATGGGGTTGAGATCTGGAGACTGGCTAGGCCACTCCAGGACCTTGAAATGCTTCTTACGAAGCCACTCCTTCGTTGCCCGGGCGGTGTGTTTGGGATCATTGTCATGCTGAAAGACCCAGCCACGTTTCATCTTCAATGCCCTTGCTGATGGAAGGAGGTTTTCACTCAAAATCTCATCATACATGGCCCCATTCATTCTTTCCTTTACACGGATCAGTCGTCCTGGTCCCTTTGCAGAAAAACAGCCCCAAAGCATGATGTTTCCACCCCCATGCTTCACAGTAGGTATGGTGTTCTTTGGATGCAACTCAGCATTCTTTGTCCTCCAAACACGACGAGTTGAGTTTTTAGCAAAAAGTTCTATTTTGGTTTCATCTGACCATATGACATTCTCCCAATCCTCTTCTGGATCATCCAAATGCACTTCAGACGGGCCTGGATATGTACTGGCTTAAGCAGGGGGACACGTCTGGCACTGCAGGATTTGAGTCCCTGGCGGCGTAGTGTGTTACTGATGGTTGGCTTTGTTACTTTGGTCCCAGCTCTCTGCAGGTCATTCACTAGGTCCCCCCGTGTGGTTCTGGGATTTTTGCTCACCGTTCTTGTGATCATTTTGACCCCACGGGGTGAGATCTTGCGTGGAGCCCCAGATCGAGGGAGATTATCAGTGGTCTTGTATATCTTCCATTTCCTAATAATTGCTCCCACAGTTGATTTCTTCAAACCAAGCTGCTTACCTATTGCAGATTCAGTCTTCCCAGCCTGGTGCAGGTCTACAATTTTGTTTTTGGTGTCCTTTGACAGCTCTTTGGTCTTGGCCATTGTGAAGTTTGGAGTGTGACTGTTTGAGGTTGTGGACAGGTGTATTTTATACTGATAACAAGTTCAAACAGGTGCCATTAATACAGGTAACGAGTGGAGAACAGAGGAGCCTCTTAAAGAAGAAGTTACAGGTCTGTGAGAGCCAGAAATCTTGCTTGTTTGTAGGTGACCAAATACTTATTTTCCACCATAATTTGCAAATAAATTCATTAAAAATCCTACAATGGGATTTTCTGGATTTTCTCTTCTCAATTTGTCTGTCATAGTTGACGTGTACCTATGATGAAAATTACAGGCCTCTCTCATCTTTTTAAGTGGGAGAATTTGCACAATTGGTGGCTGACTAAATACTTTTTTCCCCCACTGTACATATCTACCTCAAATACCTTATTATTATCTATCCTGATGCCTAGTCACTTTACCCTGCCTTCATGGACATATCTACCTCAAATACCTTATTATTATCTATCCTGATGCCTAGTCACTTTACCCTGCCTTCATGTACATATCTACCTCAAATACCTTATTATTATCTATCCTGATGCCTAGTCACTTTACCCTGCCTTCATGTACATATCTACCTCAAATACCTCGTACCTCTGCACATTGATCTGGTACTGCCAGTATATAGCTCCATTCTTGTGTATGTTATTGTATTCCTCGTATTACTATTTTATTTTTATTTGTAAACTCTGCATCGTTGGGAAGGGCTCGTAAGCGAGCATTTCACGGTCAAGTCTACACCAGTTGTATTCGGTGCATGTGACAAATGCACACACACACACACACACACACACACACACACACACACACACACACAGTGCATACACACACACCACACACACACAGTGCATACACACACACCACACACAGTGCACACACACACACACACACACACACAGTGCATACACACACACCACACACACACAGTGCATACACACACACCACACACAGTGCACACACACACACACACACACACACACACACACACACAGTGCACACACACACACACACACACACACAGTGCACACACACACACACAGTGCACACACACACACACACACACACACACACACACACACACACACACACAGTGCATACACACACACCACACACAGTGCACACACACACACACACACACACACACACACACACACACACACACACACAGTGCACACACACACACACACACACACACACACAGTGCACACACACACAGTGCACACACACACACAGTGCACACACACACACACACACACACACACACACACACACACACACCACACACACACAGTGCATACACACACACCACACACAGTGCACACACACACACACACACACACACACACACACACACACACACACACACACACACACACATAGTGGGCTGTGTTGTGATGGGTGTGTCTCGTCAGCTGTGGGTTAGAGTTCAACTCCTCTACTCACACCATTGTTATGTGCTAACTTACATGTTTGGCAGAGATGGCTGATAGTGTGTTTACACACACACACACACACACACACACACACACACACACACACACACACACACACACACACACACACACACCCCTTGAAGCGGGCTGAGAGGAGCAGTTGTGGACAGGTGGGGCAACATCCTGCTCTGACAGAGAGAGGGAACGAGAGACAGAAGGGAGAAAAGAGACTGACAAATTGCCACAGAGACAGGGAGGAGCCGCAGAGACAGGGAGGAGCCGCAGAGACAGGGAGGAGCCGCAGAGACAGGGAGGAGCCGCAGGGAGGAGCCACAGGGACAGGGAGGAGCCACAGAGACAGGGAGGAGCCGCAGAGACAGGGAGGAGCCACAGAGACAGGGAGGAGCCGCAGGGACAGGGAGGAGCCGCAGGGACAGGGAGGAGCCACAGGGACAGGGAGGAGCCACAGGGACAGGGAGGAGCCACAGAGACAGGGAGGAGCCGCAGAGACAGGGAGGAGCCACAGAGACAGGGAGGAGCCGCAGAGACAGGGAGGAGCCGCAGGGACAGGGAGGAGCCACAGAGACAGGGAGGAGCCGCAGAGACAGGGAGGAGCCGCAGGGACAGGGAGGAGCCGCAGAGACAGGGAGGAGCCGCAGAGACAGGGAGGAGCCGCAGGGACAGGGAGGAGCCGCAGGGACGGGGAGGAGCCGCAGGGACGGGGAGGAGCCGCAGGGACGGGGAGGAGCCGCAGGGACGGGGAGGAGCCGCAGGGACAGGGAGGAGCCGCAGGGAGGAGCCACAGGGACAGGGAGGAGCCACAGGGACAGGGAGGAGCCGCAGGGAGGAGCCACAGACAGCCTCTTGTTGTAGTAATGTTTGATTTGATGTTAGTGTCCCGTGAATGTCAGGAATCACACACAGCTTGAAGATGTCACCTAATGACTGGCTCTGTACTAAATGGTACCCTATTCCCATAGGGCTCCCGTCTAAAGTAGTGCACTATATAGGGAATAGGGTGCCATTTGGGATGCATACAACTATAAATCTGTTCTGTAAACTGTTGTGACAGATATATAGAGCTGTTGAGCAATAATATTTTTCAACACTTTCTGATTGCCAAACCGTTTAGAGGACACTGTCTCTTGTCTAAACTTTTTAAGGTTATTTTTTGTTCAATTACGTTTCTGAACAACTTTCTACAGTACTTGTGGACCCTGAGCAAGGGTTGTCTATATGTTGCTGTATCTTACACTGGCCAAAGTCAACCGTTTCCTCTGATCCACGGTCTTTAGAGATTAGCTAATGAAGGTCCTCCCTCGTGTTGAGCTCCATGCGTAGTCATTGAGTCAAGGTTAAGGCGTTGGTGTTGATCAGGATGCCCCACCAGGACGGTCAATGAGAGAGCAGTGTTTGGTACTGTCTTGTACGTGTGAGATGAGAGAGCTGTGTTTGGTACTGTCTTGTACGTGTGAGATGAGAGAGCAGTGTTTGGTACTGTCTTGTACGTGTGAGATGAGAGAGCAGTGTTTGGTACTGTCTTGTACGTGTGAGATGAGAGAGCAGTGTTTGGTACTGTCTTGTACGTGTGAGATGAGAGAGCTGTGTTTGGTACTGTCTTGTACGTGTGAGATGAGAGAGCAGTGTTTGGTACTGTCTTGTACGTGTGAGATGAGAGAGCAGTGTTTGGTACTGTCTTGTACGTGTGAGATGAGAGAGCTGTGTTTGGTACTGTCTTGTACGTGTGAGATGAGAGAGCAGTGTTTGGTACTGTCTTGTACGTGTGAGATGAGAGAGCAGTGTTTGGTACTGTCTTGTACGTGTGAGATGAGAGAGCAGTGTTTGGTACTGTCTTGTACGAAGGTCATCTTTACCACGGCAGAAAAACATTAAGACTGTTGCATGTACAGTGCCTTCAGAAAGTATTCATACACCTTGACTTATTCCACGTTTTCTTGTTACAGCCTGAATTCAAAATTAATAAAAAATATATATTTTCTCCCATCTGCACACACTACCCCATAATGACAAAATGAAAATATGTTTTTAGAAATTTTAGAAAATATCTAATTTACATATGTATTCACACCCCTGAGTCAATACTTTGTGAAAACACCTTTTGGCAGCGATTACAGCTGTGAGTCTTTCTGGGTAAGTCTCTAAGAGCTTTCCACACCTGGATTGTGCAACATTTGCCCATTTTTATTCTTTTCAAAATTCGTCAAGCTCTGTCAAATTGGTTGTTGATCATTGCTAGACAGCCATTTTCAGGTCTTGTCAAAACTGTACCTCGCCCACTCAGGAACATTCACTGTCTTGGTAAGCAACTCCAGTGTAGATTTGGCCTTGTGTTTTAGGTTATTGTCCTGCTGAAAGGTGAATTCATCTCCCAGTGTCTGGTGGAAAGCAGACTGAACCAGGTTCTTCTAGGATTTTGCCTGTGCTTAGCTCCATTCCGTTTATTTTTAATCCTGAAAAACTCCCCAGTCCTTAACGATTACAAGCATACCCATAACATGATGCAGCCACCACTATGCTTGAAACTATGGAGAGTGGTACTCCGTAATGTGTTGTATTGGATTTGCCCCAAACATAACACTTTGTATTCAGGACAAAAAGTTAATTGCTTTGCCACCTTTTTTGCAGTATTACTTTAATGCCTTGTTGAAAGCAGGATGCACGTTTTGGAATATTTTTGTTCTGGTCTCGGTGGTTGAATCTGTGTTTGAAATTCACTGCTCGACTGAGGGGCCTTACAGATAATTGTATTTGTGGGGTACAGAGATGAGGTAGTCATAATTTTTTTTTAAACACTGTTATTGCACACAGTGAGTCCATGCATCTTATGTGACTTGTGAAGCATATTTTTACTCCTGAACTTGTTTATTTAGGCTTGCCATAACAAAGGGGTTGAATACTTATTGACTCAAGACATTTCAGCTTTACATTTTGTATTAATTTGTAAGACTTTTAAAAACATAATTTCACTTTGACATTATGGGGTATTGTGTTTATAGGCCAGTAACAAAGAAATCTCAACGTAATCCATTTTAATTCAGGCTGGAACACAACAAAATGTGGAAAAAGTCAAGGGGGTGTGCATACTTTCTGAAGGCACTGTGTATCTGTTTTGCCAAGTAAAATGGAAAAATACTGGCATACTCATTAAAAAACGTTCTCCTCCTTCGTCTTCTTCCTCATCCTCCTCCTCCTCATCCAGACAGTAAATGGTGTTTGTGGATGTGAACCTAAATCTGTGTCTCTCTCCCCTCCAGACTCCAAGGCCATAGTGGATGGTAACATGAAGCTGATCCTAGATCTCCATATTTATATATTACTGTCTCCCCTCCAGACTCCAAGGCCATAGTGGATGGTAACATGAAGCTGATCCTGGGCATGGTGTGGACTCTGATCCTCCACTACTCCATCTCCATGCCGGTGTGGGAAGACGAGGTGGACGACGAGGCGGAGAAGAAGACCCCGAAGCAGAGGCTTCTGGGATGGATCCAGAATAAAGTGCCAGACCTGCCCATCACCAACTTCAGCAGAGACTGGCGGAGTGGCAAGGCCCTGGGAGCCCTGGTCGACAGCTGTGCTCCAGGTAGGTTCTGGATGGTTCTGGATGTCAGAGGGTGTGTAGGCCAGGGTGATTGGCTATATGTCTGAACGTCCAACTGGTGGTTATGATAATCCTGTGTGCTTTTGTTATTGAGGATTTGTCTTTGTTCAGGTGTTTAGGAGGAGGTTTCTATATCGTTATTGTTGATCGTGGGAGTGTGGGTTTTATTGACGTTATTGTTGATCATGGGAGTGTGGGTTTTATTGACGTTATTGTTGATCATGGGAGTGTGGGTTTTATTGATGTTATTGTTGATCGTGGGAGTGTGGGTTTTATTGATGTTATTGTTGATCGTGGGAGTGTGGGTTTTATTGATGTTATTGTTGATCGTGGGAGTGTGGGTTTTATTGATGTTATTGTTGATCGTGGGAGTGTGGGTTTTATTGATGTTATTGTTGATCGTGGGAGTGTGGGTTTTATTGATGTTATTGTTGATCGTGGGAGTGTGGGTTTTATTGATGTTATTGTTGATCGTGTGGGTGTTATTGATGTTATTGTTGATCGTGGGAGTGTGGGTTTTATTGATGTTATTGTTGATCGTGGGAGTGTGGGTGTTATTGATGTTATTGTTGATCGTGGGAGTGTGGGTGTTATTGATGTTATTGTTGATCGTGGGAGTGTGGGTTTTATTGATGTTATTGTTGATCGTGGGAGTGTGGGTTTTATTGATGTTATTGTTGATCGTGGGAGTGTGGGTTTTATTGATGTTATTGTTGATCATGGGAGTGTGGGTGTTATTGATGTTATTGTTGATCATGGGAGTGTGGGTGTTATTGATGTTATTGTTGATCGTGGGAGTGTGGGTTTTATTGATGTTATTGTTGTGTTTGTGCAGGTCTGTGTCCTGACTGGGAAACATGGGACAACAAGCCCTCAGACAACGCCCAAGAGGCCATGCAGCTGGCTGACGACTGGCTGGGCATCCCTCAGGTGCGAATAACAGGGTTTTGTCAGGGAGTCTCTAGTCCCCTTAAGACTGGACCAGGGAGTCTCTAGTCCCCTTAAGACTGGACCAGGGAGCCTCTAGTCCCCTTAAGACTGGACCAGGGAGTCTCTAGTCCCCTTAAGACTGGACCAGGGAGCCTCTAGTCCCCTTAAGACTGGACCAGGGAGCCTCTAGTCCCCTTAAGACTGGACCAGGGAGCCTCTAGTCCCCTTAAGACTGGACCAGGGAGCCTCTAGTCCCCTTAAGACTGGACCAGGGAGCCTCTAGTCCCCTTAAGACTGGACCAGGGAGCCTCTAGTCCCCTTAAGACTGGACCAGGGAGTCTCTAGTCCCCTTAAGACTGGACCAGGGAGTCTCTAGTCCCCTTAAGACTGGACCAGGGAGTCTCTAGTCCCCTTAAGACTGGACCAGGGAGCCTCTAGTCCCATTAAGACTGGACCAGGGAGCCTCTAGTCCCCTTAAGACTGGACCAGGGAGTCTCTAGTCCCCATAAGACTGGACCAGGGAGCCTCTAGTCCCCATAAGACTGGACCAGAGAGTCTCTAGTCCCCTTAAGACTGGACCAGGGAGTCTCTAGTCCCCTTAAGACTGGACCAGGGAGCCTCTAGTCCCCTTAAGACTGGACCAGGGAGCCTCTAGTCCCCTTAAGACTGGACCAGGGAGCCTCTAGTCCCCATAAGACTGGACCAGGGAGCCTCTAGTCCCCTTAAGACTGGACCAGGGAGCCTCTAGTCCCCATAAGACTGGACCAGGGAGTCTCTAGTCCCCATAAGTTGTTCCTGACCACAGTGTATCTTCTTGACTTTTCCTTATTGCACTGTTTCCTTCTGAGCCATGTTTGAATGGTGCAGACAAATGATCCTTCTATTTACCTACCAGGTGGGTGCTGCATTCAAAGAATCTTTATCGAAATCAATCATACAACACGCCCAAATCACAACACACCCAAGTTAAACCTCTGCAAACAGGATAGTTTGAACTGGAACTGTTCCAAGAGTTAATAACATTATTTATACAATGGGTGGATCTAGTCCTGGACGCTGGTTGGTTAAAACCACATTCCAGCCGGTGTCTATTCCACAAGTTACCACCGGCTAAATCTATGACGTTAAAATGGCTCTGTTATCCACTGTCTCATCAGCCCAGCCAGGCAATTTATACACTAGATCTACACTGTAAAAAGCATCTAGACATTATCTCCCATTTCGTTTAGACTAGCAATTGGTTTTCAATAGCGGAGATTTGTATAAACCTTGCTGTCTGTCTCTGACATTGGCAACCTCTATAGTAGGAACACTTCCTCCAGACTTCCTCTATAGTACGAACACTTCCTCCAGACTTCCTCTATAGTAGGAACACTTCCTCTATAGTAGGAACACTTCCTCTCTAGTAGGAACACTCCCTCCAGACTTCCTCTCTAGTAGGAACACTTCCTCTCTAGTAGGAACACTTCCTCACTAGTAGGGACACTTCCTCTCTAGTAGGAACACTCCCTCCAGACTTCCTCTATTTTAGGAACACTTCCTCCAGACTTCCTCTATAGTAGGAACACTTCCTCTCTAGTAGGAACACTTCCTCTCTAGTAGGAACACTTCCGCCAGACTTCCTCTCTAGTAGGAACACTTCCTCTATAGTAGGAACACTCCCTCCACACTTCCTCTATAGTAGGAACACTTCCTCTCTAGTAGGAACACTTCCGCCAGACTTCCTCTCTAGTAGGAACACTTCCTCTATAGTAGGAACACTCCCTCCAGACTTCCTCTATAGTAGGAACACTTCCTCTCTAGTAGGAACACTTCCTCTCTAGTAGGAACACTTCCTCTCTAGTAGGAACACTTCCTCTATAGTAGGAACACTCCCTCTATAGTAGGAACACTTCCTCCAGACTTCCTCTATAGTAGGAACACTTCCTCTCTAGTAGGAACACTTCCTCCACACTTCCTCTATAGTAGGAACACTTCCTCTATAGTAGGAACACTTCCTCCAGACTTCCTCTATAGTAGGAACACTTCCTCTATAGTAGGAACACTCCCTCTATAGTAGGAACACTTCCGCCAGACTTCCTCTCTAGTAGGAACACTTCCTCACTAGTAGGAACACTTCCTCCAGACTTCCTCTATAGTAGGAACACTTCCTCTATAGTAGGAACACTTCCGCCAGACTTCCTCTCTAGTAGGAACACTTCCTCTCTAGTAGGAACACTTCCTCCAGACTTCCTCTATAGTAGGAACACTTCCTCTATAGTAGGAACACTTCCTCTATAGTAGGAACACTTCCTCTCTAGTAGGAACACTTCCGCCAGACTTCCTCTCTAGTAGGAACACTTCCGCCAGACTTCCTCTATAGTAGGAACACTTCCGCCAGACTTCCTCTCTAGTAGGAACACTTCCTCTCTAGTAGGAACACTTCCTCCAGACTTCCTCTATAGTAGGAACACTTCCTCTATAGTAGGAACACTCCCTCTATAGTAGGAACACGTCCTCCAGACTTCCTCTCTAGTAGGAACACTTCCTCTATAGTAGGAACACTTCCTCTATAGTAGGAACACTCCCTCTATAGTAGGAACACTCCATCCAGACTTCAGTTTGACTTCCTCAAAAAGTTTCCTCTTCTGTGGGTACAAAGGACAGGAAACTTTTTGTTTGAAATCTGTAAATTGGATTATTATTTGACACTGACTGGTTTTTCTTACCATGTGATGTGAACAGCCATAGTTATAGGTCATGGTCAGCAAAAACTCAGGGCCCTGCTCATAGTGTGTGTGGTCTGTAGAGGAGATCTGATAATGTTGGTTGTGGTGTCAGTTGTCTGTACTGTAAGTTATAATGGTCTTCTGTCCTAGGTGATTGCACCAGAGGAGATCATTGACCCCAGTGTGGATGAACAGTCCGTGATGACCTACCTCTCCCAGTTCCCCAAAGCCAAACTGAAGCCTGGTGCACCCCTTAAACCCAAACTCAACCCCAAGAAGGCCCGTGCATACGGACCAGGTAAAATATATCATCAGATATTAATAAATGCCATGTAGCAGAAACGTTTTATCCAAAGTGACTTTCAGGTACGGTGAGTGCGTTCATTTTTAGTATGTGTGATGCCTGAGGAAATTTAACCCGCAACCCTGGCATTGCTAGGAATAACTTCTCCGAAACAGCACAAGATTACTAGGACCCAGACCTAATAATGACACACCTTTTTAAGTAATACTGAGTGCCTGCCAAACTAACACCATGTAGCTGTCTACACAGAGTGTACAAAACATTAGGAACACCTTCCTAATATAGAGTTGCACCCCCTTTTGCCCTCAGAACAGCCTCAATTCGTCGGGGCATGGACTCTACAAGGTGTCAAAAGCGTTCCACAGGGATGCTGGCTCCATGTTGACTCCAATGCTTCCCACAGTTGTGTCAAGTTGGCTGGATGTCCTTTGGGTGGTGGACCATTCTTGATACACACGGGAAACTTTTGAGTGTGAAAAACCCAGCAGCGTTGCAGTTCTTGACACACTCAAACTGGTGCGCATGGCACCTACTACCACACCCCGTTCAAAGACACTTAAATATTTTGTCTTGCCCATTCACCCTCTGAATGGCACACATCCATAATCCATGTCTCCACTGTCTCAAGGCTTAAAAATCCTTCTTTAGAACACTACCTGCCTGACTGCATTGTGCCAACTGTAAAGTTTGGTGGAGGAGGAATAATGGTCTGGGGCTGTTTTTCATGGTTCGGGCTAGGCCCCTTAGTTCCAGTGAAGAGAAATCTTAACGCTACAGCAAACAATGACATTCTAGACGATTCTGTGCTTCCAACTTTGTGGCAACAGTTTGGGGAAGGTCCTTTCCTGTTTCAGCATGACAATGCCCCCGTGCACAAAGTGAGGTCCATACAGAAATGGTTTGTCGTGATCGATGTAGAAGACTTGACTGGCCTGCAGAGCCCTGACCTCAACCCCATCGAACACCTTTGGGATTAATTGGAAAGCCGACTGCGAGCCAGGCCTAATCACCCAACATCAGTGCCCGATCTCACTAATGCTCTTGTGGCTGAATGAAAGCAAGGCCCCGCAGCAATGTTCCAACATCTAGTGGAAAGCCTTCCCAGAAGAGTGGAGGCTGTTATAGCAGCAAAGGGGGGATTATTAAAGTGACTAGTGTTCCATTTCTTAAAGTGGCCAGTGATTTCAATAGGCAGCAGCAGCCTCTAATGTGCTAGTGATGGCTATTTAACAGTCTGATGGCCTTGAGATAGAAGCTGTTTTTCATTCTCTCGGTCCCAGCTTTGATGCACCTGTACTGACCTCGCCTTCTGGATGATAGCGGGGTGAACAGGCAGTGACATCGGGTGCTGTATGTGTCTTGGAGGGAGGGTAGTTTGCCCCCAGTGATGCGTTCGGCAGACCGCACCACCATCTGGAGAGCCCTGCCGTTGTGGGCGGTGCAGTTGCCGTACCAGGCTGTGATACAGCCCGACAGGATGCTCTCAATGGTGCATCTGTAAAGGTTTGTGAGGGTTTTAGGTGCCAAGCCAAATTTCTTCAGCCTCCTGAGGTTGAAGAGGCTCTGTTGCGCCTTCTTCACCACACTGTCTGCGTGGGTGGACCATTTCAGTTTGTCGGTGATGAGTACGCCAAGGAACTTGAAGCTTTCCACCATCTCCACTGCGGTCCCGTCGATGTGGATAGGGGGGTGCACCCTCTGCTGTTTCCTGAAGTCCACGATCATCTCCTTTGTTTTGTTGACGGAGAGAATGAAAGCACTGTGATGTATTTTCCATCCGATCGGGTCCATCTATATGCTACAGTACCAGACCCCTGGTCTCTAATGTTTGGACCCACATGCTGCTATTTGGCTCCCAGCTACCTCCATGTAATACAAGTCCTGTAATTCACTTTGCTTTTAATCTCGTCACACAGCCGTCTATGAAAGAAGAGAACACACTGTTCTCTGACTGACACTTTAATGGCACCACGTTCCAAATAAAAGTGATTCAATCATAAAGGGCTGGAGTAAGCAGTGCTGGTTTTTATGTTCTTACTGGAAGTTAATCAATCTATTTATGTCATTGATTAGCCAGAGATTCCACTCACCAAGTGATCTGATTCCGAATCATTCCCTGAAGGATGAAGACCAGCAGCGCTACAGGTCTCCTGTATCTTCTACAGTATCCGGTGCGTTAATCAGTCTGTTCTCTCCCTCCCCTCCCCCTCCCTCCCAGGTCTGGAGCCAGTAGGTAACAGGGTGATGCGTCCTGCTAACTTCACGGTGGATGCGTTCAGTGCAGGTCAAGGGCAGGTCACGGTCTACGTGGAGGACCCAGAAGGAACCCGAGAGGAGGTGAAGGCAGTTCCTAACGAAGGGAAGAAGACCTACAGTGTCACCTACATACCCCAGGTCATGGGCCCTCACAAGGTACCGTACAGACACTCCCTTTGTTCACATCCATACGACTAACTGATCTAGGTCCGTTGCGGTGACCGCATTACCGAAGGTCACAAGTCATGAAGACAGTCAAATTCCACTTGACCGTTTAGTCACGGTAACTAGGCTTCTCCAAGCTCTGATGCTGCTGGTCATTAGTATCCTACCAAACCTGCTAACTGCCTGGTACTCAGCACTCTATTGTCCCTCTAATCACTCTGACATCAATGCAAATGTAATCGAAAATCTAATCAAACACTTCATGAGAGCCCATGAGCTCATGTTGCGCAACATTTCTATAGGCTATGCAATTGCATGAGAAAACAGAGTGATGGCCTCTATTAAAAAGAGGAGGATCCCATCAGCTTTCTATAGGCTAGGCCTACTATATTTATTTCTCAACTTTCCTAATATTAAGCACATGGCTTCTCTTTACAACAGGAGTATAGCCTACCTGGCTGGCATGAAAATGAATCACGGGAAAAGCGTCCTCCATTTGCTAATTAAGTGCATAGATTACATGTATTTTTTCCAGCTGCCCCTGTTCCGAGACAGGTGCATGATAATGGTCCATTCTAAATCAATACAAATTTCACACATATATTATTTAGTATATGTAAAGACAAGATTAAATCAAGAATAGTCTGATGGGTGACTATCAGCCTATCACTTGTGAATTATATATTATCACTGAATGATGCCCAGCGTAAGAAACAATGCCTTTTTCTCATGTAGCCTAGCCCATAGGCCTATATGTTTTAATAAGGTTTGTATCACAACTAAAGTGGCCAAATAACGTCTTAAAATTAAGCACATGAATCCGCTTTACAAGGGGTTTAGAGCCTAACTGGCATACATAAGCAGCGCGTGAGTTTCAAGTTTGGGGAAGATACATTTCACCATAGAAATGCACCTTTTATAATAAAAGCATTACATGCATAATCGCATTTGCGGTCACTTTTGATAATGGTGTTTTCCTGCTAATGGAACATTCCCGCTTATAGCCTACTGCCGTGTGCGTATTGCTGTGCTTATAATGTGAAGAAATAGCCTAATAGTTTATCAACATTTTAAGCTAAGCGTTCTGATCTGTTGGGTCACCCTCATTGCGTAAAAAAGGTTTTTTGATGCTTGTGGTTGTATTAATTTGGGCACTATTGAATCCCGCAATGTTTGAAATATTTATTTATCTCACAGAATAGAATAGGTTGACTTTTGTACTATGGGGGATAGTAGATTGACATAGGCTAGTGCTTTTGCTGTTCGTTAGGTCTACTCATCTTTTTGGCTGGCGAAAAGTACATGTGGACAGTTCTTCCAATATCTTCAATATGCACCTCGGAATTTGATAAAGACGTGCGCAGTTGCGTCCCCGATGTGTCTGTCTTCACTTGTAGCTTGTGTGAAAGACCTGATCACGTGACTGAGAGCCATGTGAGTGAGAGGCGCTTCAGACCACGCAGCACTCAGGGAGAAGGGAATTATAATTATTATATTTAGCCCAAGGGCACAAAAGGGATGGATTTTTGTCAGCGGGAAATTTGAGGCATTATCAAGTGCTTGTCAAATAGTGAATGAGAGACTGATGAAGTGTGTACAGCCTGTGCAAAAAAACAAAGCAGAGCTCACGCCTTTCAAGCAACTTTTTTCAAATCATCAATAGTCGCATCATGCAGCCTTACAATGTATTAAAAATCAAAACATATAGCCCAACGTTTGTAGAACAACTAAAGTTACATTAATAACTCTAAATTAAGCATTTAGGAGTACCTGTTTCTTTGTTAACCGCTCAACACAGAATAGCCGCATGTGCTCACTCCCTCAAATCTTCTGGAGAAAATATCCTTAATATTTTATTCAGCTTTGTTCAATTGTTTTCTTCACACTATAAAATAATATAAAATAATGCCATGGAATTCTAAGCAGATCTTGTCTGCTAAATGAACTAGTGTAGCCCACAGCCATATGGCATATCCAGATCAGGACCTAACATAAGGACAACTCAGAGGATGCTATTCTGTTCTTCTGAAATAGACTACATTTTCTTCATATCATGTTTCTTTAGACCTGTCTAAAATAAATAATGGATTTATTGTGAAGGTGTAGGCTATATTACATGGATTTATTAGACTTTTTAACATGTAGATGTTCCAAAGGTCTGCATCAGTGGCTTGTTAATTAATGGTCAATTACCGGCTGACAATTTCGTGACCGCCACATCCCTACCCACAACAGCACCTCGGGGGCGGCAGGTAGCTTAGTGGTTAAGAGCGTTGTGCCAGTAACCGAAAGGTCGCTGGTTCTAATCCCCGAGCCGACTAGGTGAAAAATCTGTCGATGTGCCCTTGAGCAAGGCACTTAACCCTAATTGCTCCTGTAAGTCGCTCTGGATAAGAGCGTCTGCTAAATGACAAAAACAATTTAAAAAAATTAAAAATAAAAAATCTTCACTTTTCATTTGGCAAGCTCTTGATTCAGTCCTAGAGTCAAGTTCTTCACTTGACTGTTGAGAGCTTGTCAGATATTGTTTTTATTGCGTCTAAACTGTTTGACTGCATTAGATACTGCTTCTGCAAAGATGCTTTCTGACGTCGTTGTTGTCTGATCCTGTCTAGGTGACAGTGCTGTTCGCAGGCCAGCAGATCCCCAAGTCTCCGTTTGAGGTGAGTGTGGACAAGGCTCAGGGAGACCCCACCAAGGTTACAGCTAAAGGGCCTGGACTGGAACCTATAGGGAACATCGCCAACAAACCTACCTACTTCGACATCTACACTGCAGGTTGGTTCTCCTCCCACAGCTCCTTCTGTTATTTAGGATAACTGACTCCAAATAAGGAATTATTTGTGTACTGTATGTAGGACCGCATACGCTGGGTTGTTTAACTTTTTGTGTGTTTTTTTTATTAGCATTTTGAAGATGGTGCTTTTTAGACTGGTCCCAGATCTGTATGTTTCTGGCATGAAAACGAATCTACATTCTAGGTGCTTGGGTTAAAGTGTTGCTATGTTCCAGGGGCTGGAGTGGGAGATGTGGCAGCTGTCATCAAGGATCCTCAGGGCAGACCGTCGGTGGAGGCCATGGTGGAGGATAAGGGAGACAGTGTGTTCAGGTGTACCTACAAGCCCACCCAGCAGGGTCCTCACACCGTCACCATCACCTTCGGAGGCATCGCAATACCCAAGAGTCCTTCTACTGTCAACATCGGACCAGGTGAACTCTAACCTTAAGTGTTAAACCCTGTCTAAGCCGGGTGGGGGTGGGGGGGGGGGGGGGGGGGTTCTACTAGGTTATATAGAATTGTTTTAGCTATCTGATTTTGCATTTTAAAACCCCTTGAAGTATCAAAAAAAGATATGTAAAAAAATTATTACTTACTGCTATTATCCCATACAAACGCATTGAATAACAGATAGTCCCAAAAAAATCTAAAGGAAGTTTGTTCTGAAGTGTCTATCCTATATCTGAGAGATAAAAGAAAGATCAGGAAACATTCTTTCATTAAACATTTTTTTTTTTTTATACATGTATTTAACCCCTTATTTTAGTCACTAAACAGTCTCCATATATACGCCCGTTTTAATTTTTCCGAGTGGTACCGGGGGACCTTCAGATGAGTCTTGTGAGGCCTGTGGGCGTCCTAGAGCAAATCAACCGACGTGTTCGTGAGATTCTCACCTTTACACAGAACCTAAACCTTCTAAACCTTCTGAATGCAATCCAGCCATTTTTACATTTTCGACCCTTCTAAACCTTCTGAAGACAATCCAATGTTTCATTTAAGAGCTTTATTTAGATTCTAGAACCCTCGTTCCCCAGATTTAGCCTACGTACAGAACTCTGGCTACACTCCATAACTCTGGGTCTGACATAATTGGGTGAACATTTTTTGTCTCGTTAGTTTCCGCTGAGCGGTCAGCTGCCTCCCCCGCCTCACCCCTCCTGCCTCACCACCTACAGTATTTACTCCCCCCCCCCCCCCCCCCCCCCCCCTAGCCTCACCCTCTCTGGGGGAGGTGACCTGGCTCGACTCTGGCTGGTGGACAGAAGGAGAGGAGAGCAGGAAGCTCCAGCATTAGGACTAAAGGCTAGAAGGAGAGGAGAGCAGGAAGCTCCAGCATTAGGACTAAAGGCTAGAAGGAGAGGAGAGCAGGAAGCTCCAGCATTAGGACTAAAGGCTAGAAGGAGAGGAGAGCAGGAAGCTCCAGCATTAGGACTAAAGGCTAGAAGGAGAGGAGAGCAGGAAGCTCCAGCATTAGGACTAAAGGCTAGAAGGAGAGGAGAGCAGGAAGCTCCAGCATTAGGACTAAAGGCTAGAAGGAGAGGAGAGCAGGAAGCTCCAGCATTAGGACTAAAGGCTAGCTGAACCGAACAAGTGTGCTCGCTACTCTCTTAAAAGACCTTCGCTTGAAAAAGGAGAAAAAAGCGGCAATAGTACTGTTTGTCTATTTTGAGACACCGTAGCAGTATACACTTCCTTAAAATAGTCAGAATGAATCTAAGATAACTCAAGAAATCTGTCATTTATTTAGACGTTTTTGCAGAGGATAGTCGCGGAATTTTACATGTAACGAAGATGTTTGATGCAGTATTTCTAAATGAAAAAAATGGTGGTCTCTCGTTGAATGACAACAGACTTTATTGAAGAATCCCTACTGTTGACTAATCACCGACGAGGGGGTGTGGACTTCGGCTCCGAACTTTGGCTTGCCTCCAGAAAAAATGTGTGCCCAAACAGCCTTAAAAAAACTCTCACCCAAGTCACAAAATGTCATCAGAATATATGCACAAACTCTTCAGCACTGTTTCGGCTGGGAAGCATGCGGACACCTCAAGCCTCAAGCCAGGACAAGCCGTGTTCAGCCCCTCTCCTCTGCCCTCCTCCTCCTCCTGCAACTCATAAAACACTAAATTCCATCTCCCTGATGCAGCTTTTCCACGCCACACCGACCTCACGGCACGGTACAACGCAGCATCGTGACCCTAAAACCTCTCGCTTTACAGACCCGTAAATAGATTTTCCAAAAATAAAGGATTTGTGTAGTCATTATTGTTTTTATTCAAATGAATAACTGATACAGATAACTGAATGATAAGTGAATCAGAGAGGCTGTTGTTGAATTGGAAAGTGAGGCTGTATTTATTGTGTTTATGTCTGGAAACCCCCTCCAACTTCAAGCCTTCTCAGTTTGGAAGCAGATTTCAGGAGGTTAAAGTCTTGATGTGGTTCGTGAGGTAGAGTTGAGACTTGTAGCCTGCGTTCCAAATAGCACCCTATTCCCTATATAGTGCACTACTTTAGACTAGAATGGGGAATAGGGCGCCATTTGGCACACAGTCCTATACTTTTGGTTCTTTGGTCATGTTGATTGTAGGGTCTGAATGCAGCCCCTGTTCATTCCAACTGCTTTATGCCTTATAGTACAGTCTTCTCAGCACCCCTTCATTCCAACTGCTTTATGCCTTATAGTACAGTCTGCTCAGCACCCCTTCATTCCAACTGCTTTATGCCTTATAGTACAGTCTGCTCAGCACCCCTTCATTCCAACTGCTTTATGCCTTATAGTACAGTCTTCTCAGCACCCCTTCATTCCAACTGCTTTATGCCTTATAGTACAGTCTTCTCAGCACCCCTTCATTCCAACTGCTTTATGCCTTATAGTACAGTCTTCTCAGCACCCCCTTCATTCCAACTGCTTTATGCCTTATAGTACAGTCTTCTCAGCACCCCTTCATTCCAACTGCTTTATGCCTTATAGTACAGTCTTCTCAGCACCCCCTTCATTCCAACTGCTTTATGCCTTATAGTACAGTCTTTTCTCAGCACCCCTTCATTCCAACCGCTTTAATGCCTTATAGTACAGTCCTTCTCAGCACCCCTTCATTCCAACTGCTTTATGCCTTATAGTACAGTCTTCTCAGCACCCCTTCATTCCAACTGCTTTATGCCTTATAGTACAGTCTTCTCAGCACCCCTTCATTCCAACTGCTTTATGCCTTATAGTACAGTCTTCTCAGCACCCCTTCATTCCAACTGCTTTATGCCTTATAGTACAGTCTTCTCAGCACCCCTTCATTCCAACTGCTTTATGCCTTATAGTACAGTCTTCTCAGCACCCCTTCATTCATTCCAACTGCTTTATGCCTTATAGTACAGTCTGCTCAGCACCCCTTCATTCCAACTGCTTTATGCCTTATAGTACAGTCTGCTCAGCACCCCTTCATTCCAACTGCTTTATGCCTTATAGTTCAGTCTTCTCAGCACCCCTTCATTCCAACTGCTTTATGCCTTATAGTACAGTCTTCTCAGCACCCCTTCATTCCAACTGCTTTATGCCTTATAGTACAGTCTGCTCAGCACCCCTTCATTCCAACTGCTTTATGCCTTATAGTACAGTCTTCTCAGCACCCCTTCATTCCAACTGCTTTATGCCTTATAGTACAGTCTTCTCAGCACCCCTTCATTCCACCTGCTTTATGCCTTATAGTACAGTCTTCTCAGCACCCCTTCATTCCAACTGCTTTATGCCTATAGTCCCCTTCATTTCGCTGGGTCAGTGAACATTACATTACCAACCAGACAGATTTAGACAGCCCCTGTTCGCATGGAGGACTTGGTGCCAGCTGTGGCTTCAGAGGTATTTTGCATGGAGGACTTTACTCACTGTGATGACACACTACTACCAATACATGAATGAACAAACCAAATGAATGAATGCGTTTCAGAGCTGAAGTGATTCTTGTAATAAAGTCTTCTCTTTTGTCTTCTGGGTTTCAGCGTCGATGCCAGGGGCGTGTCGTGCCACAGGGCGTGGCCTCCAGCCCAGAGGGGTCAGAGTTAAACAGGTGGCTGACTTCAGAGTGGACACCACGAACGCAGGGAGTGGGGACCTAAAGGTCACAGTCAAAGGACCCAGTGAGTTAACAGTTATTACAAGTCTCTCATTTTTTTTCATTAGCAATTTCATTTCACCTTTTAACCAGGAAGTCCCATTGAGGAACCAGGAAGCCCACTCCCCACCCCACTCGGTTCACTACATCTCCCCTCCTCCACCGATCCCTCCCCCATCCCCCTCTCCATTCCTCCCTCGAACCCCCTTCCCTCTAATCCCTACCTACATTCCCTTTCTTCTACCTCTCCCCCCTCCTCTCCATACAACCCCCATCCTACAAAAAAAAATCTACCCCCTCCTTCAATAGCCTAAGGTTAAACCCTTATCGTATCTTCTCCGTTCCACCTCTCCAGCTTGAACCCCTCCTCTAGCCCTATCATTTCCTTATACTCTCCAGACCCCTTCATCACCCTCCTTACAGTACCTCAGCCCTCTCTTCATTCCCATTTCTCCTCACCCCCTTCTCCATTCTAGCACCCCCTTCCATCCTCCCTCCCGTTCATTCACCTCTTTCCTTCACACCTCCTTCCCACAACCTTACCAACCTCCCATCCCCTACAACCCCCTTCCTCTCTCCCACACCCCATCCTTCCTGTCACTCTCTCTCCTTCATCCCTCACCCTCCCTTCATCCTCACACACCCTCCCTTCATCCTATCTTAAACCCTCCCTTCATTCACCTCCTCATCACACTCCTTCCCGTCTCCTCACACCCCCCATTCACCTCTCCCTTCACTACACACCCATCCTACACCACTCCCTTATATCCTATCAACCCTCCCTTCATCATACACCCTCTCCTTCTCTACACCCCTCCTTCCTCCTACCAAACCCTCCCTTCCACTCCCTCACCCCCCCTTCATCCTACAACCACCCCTCCTCTATCCCTCCCCCTATCATCCTCTACCCTCCCTCACTCTCCCCCCTCCCTCCTCCTAACCCCTCCTTCTCCCTCCCTCCTCCCTATCCTACCACCCCTCCTTTCCTACCCCCCTCCTTCATCCTACAACCCACCTATCCACACCCTCCCATCCTACCCCTCCTTCCTCCTACCACCCCTCCCTTCTCTCTACACCCACCCCCTCCTACAACCCTCCCTCCTCCACCCTCCCTCTCCCTCAGCCACCTCCCTCCATCCTACAACCCCTCCCTTCTCACCCTACCCACACACCCTCCCTTCATCCTACACCCCTCCCTTCATCCTACACACCCCTCCCTTCACTCCTACACACCCCCCTCCCTTCCTCCTACCTACACCCCTCCCTTTCACACACCCCTCCCTTCTACCTCTACACCCCTCCCTCCTCCTACCCCTCCCTTCCTCCTACACCCCCCCCTCCACCCCTCCCTACACACCCCTCCCTTCATCCTACACACCCCTCCCTTCATCCTCACTCCTCACCCCTCCCTTCACCCTACCCCCTCCCTTCATCCTACCTACACCCCTCCCTTCACCCCCTCCTCACTCCTACACCCCCCTCACCTTACCAACCCCTCCCTTCATCCTACAACCCCCCTTCCCTCTACCCCTCCTTTCCCTACACCCCCCTCCCTCTCCTCTACACCCCTCCCTTCTCATCCTACCCCCTCCCTTCCTCCTACCACCCCTCCCTTTCCATCCAAACCCCCTCCCTTCATCCTACAACACCCCTCCCTTCATCCCTACCAAACCCCCTCCCTTCATCCTACACCCCTCCTACACACCCCTCCCTTCATCCTACACCCCTCCCTTCCTCCTCCCACACCCCCTCCCTTCCCTCCTTACCACACCCCCCCTCCCTCCCACACCCTCACCACAACCCCTCCCTTCATCCCCTACACCCCTCCCTTCACCCTACACCCCTCCCTTCACCCTACAACCCCTCCCTTCATCCTACAACCCCTCCCTTCACCTCATCCCCCCTCCCTCCTCTCTACACCCCCCCTTCCCTCACCCTCCACTCCTCCTCCTCCCTTCACCTACACCCCTCCCTTCACCCTACACACCCCTCCCTTCATCACACCCTTCCCACCACCCCTCCCTTCTCCCTACACCCCTCCCTTCATCCTACACCCCTCCCCTTCACCCTACCAACCCCTCCCTTCACCTACAACCCCTCCCTTCACTCCTACACCACCCCTCCCTTCACCCTACACACCCCCTCCCTTCACACCCTACACACCCCTCCCTTCACCCTACAACCCCTCCTTCATCCTACACCCCTCCCTTCATCCTACACCCCCCCTCCCTTCACTCCTACACCCCTCCCTTCACCCTACACCCCTCCCTCACCTACACCCCCCTCCCTTCCTCCTACAACCCCCTCCCTTCACCCTACACCCCTCCCTTCACCTACACACCCCTCCCTTCACCTACACCCCTCCCTTCCTCCCCTCCCTTCACCTACCACCCCTCCCTTCACCTACCAACCCCTCCCCCTCATCCCCTACCCCCCCTTCCCACAACCCCTCCCTTCACCCTACACCCCTCCCTTCATCCTACACCCTCCCTTCATCCTACCCCCTCCCTCCCTTCCTCCTACAACCCCTCCCTTCACCCTACACACCCCTCCCTTCACCCTACAACCACCCCACCCTCCCCCTCCCTTCATCCTACACCCCTCCCTTCACCTACACCCCCCCCTTCCCCTACACCCCTCCCCCCCTCACCCCCTTCACCCTACCCCCTCCCTTCACTACCCCCTCCCTTCACACAACCCCTCCCTTCACCCTACACCCCCCCTCACCTACACCCCTCCTCATCCTCACCCACACCCCTCCCTTCATCCTACACACTCCACACCCCTCCCTTCATCCTACACCCCTCCCTTCATCCCTACAAACCCCTCCCTTCATCCTACACCCCTCCCTTCACACCTACACCCCTCCCTTCCCTACACCCCTCCTCACCACCCCTCCCTTCACCCTACACCCTCACCCCACCCCTCCCTTCCTCCTCACACCCCTCCCTTCCTCCTACACCCCTCCCTTCCTCCTACACCCCTCCCTTCCTCCTACACCCCTCCCTTCCTCCTACACCCCTCCCTTCCTCCTACACCCTTCCCTTCATCCTACACCCCTCCCTTCACCCTACACATTTTACATATACATTTTACATTTTAGTCATTTAGCAGACGCTCTTAACCAGAGCGACTTACAGGAGCAATTAGGGTTAAGTGCCTTGCTCAAGGGCACATTAACGTCATTTAGCAGACGCTCTTAGCCAGAGCGACTCACAAATTGGTGCGTTCACCCTATAGCCAGTGGGATAACCACTTTACAATTTGGGGGGGGGGGGGGGGGTTAGAAGGAATACTTTAGCCTATCCCAGGTATTCCTTAAAGAGGTGGGGTTTCAAATGTCTCCGGAAGGTGGTGAGTGACTCCGCTGTCCTGGCGTCGTGAGGGAGCTTGTTCCACCATTGGGGTGCCAGAGCAGCGAACAGTTTTGACTGGGCTGAGGGGGAGCTGTGCTTCCGCAGAGGAAGGGGAGCCAGCAGGCCAGAGGTGGATGAACACCCCTCCCTACACCCCTCCCTTCATCCTACACCCCTCCCTTCATCCTACACCCTTCCCTTCTACCTCTCCCCCTCCCTCCATCCTACACCCCTCCCTTCACCCTACACCCCCTCCCTTCATCCTACACCCCTCCCTTCACCCTACACCCCTCCCTTCACCCTACACCCCTCCCTTCTCCCTACACCCCTCCCTTCCTCCTACACCCCTCCCTTCACCCTACACCCCTCCCTTCACCCTACACCCCTCCCTTCACCCTACACCCCTCCCTTCATCCTACACCCCTCCCTTCTCCTACAACCCCCTCCCTTCCTCCTACACCCCTCCCTTCCTCCTACAAAACCCCTCCCTTCCTCCTACACTACACCCTCCCTTCCATCCTACACCCCTCCCTTCATCCTACACCCCTCCCTTCATCCTACACCCCTCCTTCCCCCACCTCCTTCCACCCTTCACCCCTCCCTCCACCCTACAACCCCTCCCTTCCTCCCTACACCCCCCTTCCCGTCCTCCTACACCCCTCCCTTCACCCTACACCCCTCCTTCCTCCTACAACCCCTCCCTTCATCCTACACCCCTCCCTTCATCCTACACCCCTCCTTCCACCCTTCACCCCTCCCTCCACCCTACCCCCCTCCCTTCCTCCTACACACCCCTCCCTTCATCCTACACCCCTCCCTTCACCCTACAACCCCCTCCCTACACCCCTCCCTTCCTCTACAACACCCCTCCCTTCCTCCTACAACACCCCTCCCTTCAATCCTACACCCCTCCTTCCACCCCCCTCACCCCCTCCTTCCACCCTTCACCCCTCCCTCCACCCTACACCCCTCCCTTCCTCCTACACCCCTCCCTTCACCCTACACCCCTCCCTTCCTCCTACACCCCTCCCTTCCTCCTACACCCCTCCCTTCATCCTACACCCCTCCCTTCATCCTACACACCCCCTCCTTCCACCCTTCACCCCTCCCTCCCCCCTACACACCCCTCCCTTCCTCCTACACCCCTCCCTTCATCCTACAACCCCTCCCTTCATCCTACAACAACCCCTCCCCTTCATCCTACACCCCTCCTTCCACCCTTCACCCCTCCCCTCCACCCTTCACCCCTCCCTCCACCCTACACCCCTCCCTTCCTCCTACACCCCTCCCTTCACCCTACACCCCCTCCCTTCCTCCTACAACACCCCTCCCTTCATCCTACACCCCTCCCTTCATCCTACAACCCCTCCTTCCACCCTTCACACCCCTCCCTCCACCCTACACCCCTCCCTTCCTCCTACACCCCTCCCTTCATCCTACACCCCTCCCTTCACCCTACACCCCCCTCCCTACACCCCTCCCTTCTCCTACACCCCTCCCTTCCTCCTACACCCCCTCCCTTCATCCTAACACCCTCCTCCACCCTTCACCCCTCCTTCCACCCCTTCACCCCTCCCTCCCCTCCTCCCTAACACCCCTCCCTTCCCCCTACACCCCCTCCCTTCACCCTACACCACCTCCCTTCCTCCTACACACCCCTCCCTTCCA